ACCAACGGGTACGATGACACCCTGGGCCACCATGGAATCCAGTTCCTTCTTGACTGAATCCCTGAAGGCGAGAGGGATCAACCGGGGAGTGTGTATGGCAAACGGCTGCTCATCTTCCCGCAGGTGTATCCTCATAGACGGACCCGCCATAGCCTTCAGTGGCGCGGTCCGTAGGGCCTCCTTCGTCACCAGCACTTCCGAGTACTCCTTCAGGATGTAGGCCCTTGCGGCTGAAGGAGACGTCTCGCTGTGAAGAGGAAGCAGCCGTGACTTGGGTGGAGGCGGGGCGGGAGTGGACGCAGGTTCTGGGCAGCTCTGTGCGGCAGCGCCAGGAGTGTCGCTCGGTGACTCACGCACCCTGCTGAGGTGTACCGAGCAGCTGGGATCTGCTCAGGAAAGTCTCTGGGCATCACACCTAACTCCTTGCAGTGCTCCCACGACAACAAGAGTGTAGCGAGAGTAGGCTGCACGTCCATCCATCAGTGACAAGACCTGTCGCCGTAGGTAATCTCCGCTTGAAAGGAGCCCACAGCGTCCGGCATCTGGGAACCGTCCGCATTGTAGTACAGCAGCTGCGGTGGTGGTCCCAGGTCGGGTTTGGTGAGGCCCAGTTTCTGGAGGTGCTTCAGGCCTACTCACTGTAGTATCAGCGCCGGTACCCGGTATCACCTCGATGTGACCCGACACATCACCGTGTGTGACGGCGACGCGGATGGTAGGGGAAGAGGTAGCCCTGGGGCGTGTGGTCGATTCCACCCTCCTGATGTGACTCAGCTGCTGCCTGGGGCTGCGTGGGCCATCTGAAGGGGGCTGCGTGCGAACCACCCCGAGGGACGTGCGCTGCTATACTGTTTGCACCCTGCCTCGGTACCGTGGGCAGGCTCGTGGCCTCCTCACCCTTGTGCGTAACACCATTCCATCTGTTCGTCTCCCTTCACCTGACTCACATGGACCCCCGTCTGAATTACTTTCTGTCTCCCTTACTCTTGGTGACCGGACCCTTCGTGTAGTCAATGTTCATTTCAAGAGTAATTCTCTGGACCCCCAGGTTCTTCACGACCTCCATGATAGGATTCCCACTATTGTTCTTGGCGACTTTAATGCCCGCCATCCCACTCTTACTCCGGATCGTCCCACGTCATGTACCCTTAACGGATCACATCTCTCACAGTTTCTTAATGGGGATGATGATGTTCGCTTTCTTTGTCCTGACGATCCTACTCGCCTCCCCCATAGTTTCCTTGATGTTGGCTTACTATTGAACGGTCATACCTCCTTTCATCCTACCGTCTGCACCGAGCCTGCTCTGTATGGTGACCATCTTGCCGTTACTACCCATCTCAGGCTCTCCTTCTCTGCCCCGACATCAGCTCCTTATCGATCCCCTCGCCTTCGTCTCACACAAGATGCTGTTCCTTCCTTTACCCAATACCTTTCTACCTGGGCGGATTCCTATGTTGTCCCCCAGTTCCTTGACTCTTGCAACGCTGATTTTGTTGATGCCGTGTATGACTCTGTCAATCGCGCTACCCCTCCACGCCCTCCCCGTCACCCCAGAAGTGCCACCAACTACTGGTATCGTATCCCTGCCATGAGACATCTCCGGCAGGTAACCCGTGATCTCCACTCTGCCATACGGAGGTCTCGGTCTCCAGAGGACTGGGAAGACTTCAAAAATTGGTGCTCCTTTGCAACTCAGGAGCGCCGTCGGATACGTGAGGCGGACTGGCTATCCTTCACGGGGTCTCTATCGTTCTAGTCGTCACCCTCTTATGTATGGAATCGGATTAATGCTATACGGGGTACTCGACGGAGGCCTCCTCCCCACCCTGACCCCGCCTCCCTTGCCTGCTCTTTAATGGAGGACTGGACACGAGCTTCCTCCCCTGAGGCACTTCCAGATCCAATGCAGGAGGCAGTGCAGGCCCGCATCGATGCGTCTGAGCCTGTTGTTCGTGCTGCTCTTACCTCCCCTGCCCCCACTGATCATCCCATCACACAGTTCGAGCTTGACAGTGCTCGTCGCTCTAGAAAAGACACCTCTCCTGGGGATGATCAGATAACCTACTCCGTCCTTAACGCCTGTACTAATATTCCTAACGGCCCCTTGCTTGCTCTCTACAATATGTCTTATGAACATGGGGTTCTCCCGTCCAACTGGAAAAATGCCACTATTATCCCCATCCCTAAGCCGGGAGATCCTGGGAAATATCGACCCATTAGTCTTACCTCCTGTGTTTGCAAGATGATGGAGAGGATACTCCATCGTCGCCTTCTTCACACCATAGGCGGCTTCCACAACTCCCTCAATGGTTTCATTCAACATCGCAGCACAACACACTCCATTGCTTCCTTTTATTGCAATCAGACTGCCCGCATCTCCGTCTTCCTTGATATCAAGGGAGCCTTTGATACGGCTCAGCCTGCCCTCATTTTAGCTGAACTTGCGCGGTTAGGGGTTAAAGGGAGCCTTCTACAATGGATCGCATCTTACCTCACTGGACGTCAGGCCCGGGTTCGCGTTGAAGGCTCTATGTCTCCTGTTCAAGAAATGAACCTCGGCACCCCTCAAGGTGGAGTCCTGAGTCCCACCTTGTTTAACACTCTCATGCACTCCATTGCATCCCTCCCGTGGCCGACAGAAGTTGTCCACTCAGGATATGCCGACCATGTCCTCCTCCAAGCCCCTGACTACCTCAGCATGCAGGAAGCCCTTGATCTGGTCTCCAGAGAGTATGATTCACTTGGTTTCCTTCTTTCAACTGCGAAAACAAAAGCCATGTGGCACGGTTCGTGTTGTACCTCCACCCTTATCTTATCAGGAACGCCCTTGGACTGGGTTAATGAGACAAAATACCTGGGTGTGTATGTAACTCGTACACGTTGTCAGACCCCTGAAGTCCGCTATCTTCGAGACATATGCTTTCGGCGTCTCGCTCCCCTCTCTACCATGTGCAGGGGTTCCCTTGGTGCCACCATCCCTGTACTTCTCACCATGTACAAGTCCTTTGTCCGTTCCTGTGTCGACTACGCCGCCCCTGCCCTCGTCAACATTAGTCGGACTGCTGTCAACCGTCTCGAAGTTATCCAGAGGGAAGCTGCTCGTATCATCCTTGGGGCTCCTCAGTGGACACGCTCTACTTCTCTATATACCGAACTTGGTCTTTCCCCCTTACAGGATCGTGTCCAGGAGTTTTACCTAAAAACTGGCGTTTCCATTCTACGGGATCCTCGGGGCAACTATGTCCAAACCAACTTGACTCCTGCTGTCCGAGACCGACCTCCACCTAGAAGACAGTGGCGAGGGTCACTCATCCGAGCCCTTCAGGAACACGACCTCCTGCCTTATATTGTTGCCACCCCTGCTGTTGGTTCGTCTCCTTCTCCCTGGCTGGATTTTCAACCTGAAGTGATTGCCCTCGGTGAACCGCTCCCGAAATCCCAGGTGAACCCTGTTATTCTCTGCAAATACCACCTCTCCAGGATCGCCCACTGGTCCCCAGGTAGGGTCGTCCTCTACACTGATGGTTCTGTTGACCCCGCTACACGTAGGGCCGGGGCTGGTGTCTACATCTCCCGTCCTGATGCCCCTTAGCCTATCAAACTGTCTCTCAGAGTTTCTGACGGGGCATCCTCCACTCAGGCTGAACTAATAGCCCTCCTTGCTGCCCTTCTCGCTGAGGAAGAAGCAGATGATGTCTGCCCCTTGCTTGTCTGCTGCGATTCCAGGTCTGCTCTCGATGAGATCGCATTTGGATCAGGGGAAAATAAGGACCTCATCCTCCGAATACGAGGGTTAACATCCACACTTCAGGATGCAGGCCATCCTGTAACATTCCTGTGGATACCCAGTCATGTCGGTATCTTGGGGAATGAGGCAGCAGATGGCCTTGCCAAAACTGGCTGCAGCAAGGCCACACCTGACTACGTTGTTCCTCGAACACTCTTACAGATTAGGACCCAAATTTGCCGCAGACAGAAAGAAGCTCGGGAAGCAGCCATCCCCCTGGACTCCCCGCCCACCTGGTACGATGTCCTCCGTAAACTTCCTGACCTCTCGTACGTCTACGGGAAAGGGTCACGGAAAGGGGACGTGATTGCTGCCCGTATCATCATTGGGTATGACTTTGCTTGGGAGATTGGTATCCCCGCATCCCCTGAGCAACGCTCTTGTGCGTTATGCAGAAGACCCGACAGCAGCACCCTTATCCACTACCTCCTAAGATGTCCCCACACACAACGCTTCCGTGACGCCTGCTGGACCACCACTCCACGACCCCCTGACGGAGACACGATGATCCTCCCCATACTGGCCAGATATTTTGTAAATAATATTGATTATGTGTGAAAGGAATAACCTTCCTTCCTTAGGCTTTAGTAAGCCCCTTTATAATATTTATACTGTATATACTTGTCACACTTGCCAGAAGCTTCTGGTGTCATTGTACAGGGGTACCTAGTGACAGCACTAGGATCCCGCCTCCTCTATCAAGGAATAAACAATTGAAATTGAAAAAATTGATTCGGGTGAACAACCAAATACTATATGAATTTACCTTGAAGTATGTGGAGATTTGACATGTATTTTTTTATTACGTTCAAAATTCTTGACATGGTTGCAATTATGCCACGTAATGAGAGAACATTTAGCTTATTTTATTATTGCTTGTCTTATAATATCGAGTGAAAGGAAAACAAATATTTTTTTTCAAAGGAGCTGATCGCTTAAAAATTAAATTGTTATTTTGTGCTTCAACATTGTCGCCATAAATAGTGTAACAAGGTTAGTAATAACACTAGTCCAACAATTAAATAAAATATATGAATTAGAAATCACTCTTAAACAGCTAATAATTACAATAACTAACTAAATATGAATATATTATGAAAATATATTTTATTTAGCTGAAATTGGTTGAGATATTTTTGCTTAGAAAATAATATTTTAGACTCTGTTTATGGTTGTGGTAAGGTTTTAACATCGTAAAAAGAGACGGGCGGGCTTCCCACATGGTGGTGTGTGAGGCGGCAAGACAGACAAAACCTTTACTTCACACTCTTGGGAATCACTTTTGGACGTCCGAGTTAACCTGTTGCAGAAGTATGGCGTCACAGAAAACAATCAAGAACTTCTTTAAGCCTGTCATTAAGCGCAAGAGCGAGGATTTAGAGGTTAGTGATGGACAAACATCTAACCTTAAATTTTGCCGTGAACGTGTAACTTCCGATTTAAGCTAAGGTTCCATTCACGCGTTTACAATATGTTTACATTTTCAATCGCTACAGGGGGCGATTGGCGTGTACTCCAAAAGTATAATGCTAACTCAACCTTGCCAGTGGAAACAACCTTATACATTTCAATGTGATCTATTTTGGTAAATTTGCTTTAATGCACACAACTCAGTCACGAAGTCAAAACAACGTTTTTCTAGTGTAGTTTTATGTGTTTTGATTGGTTTTGACCTTAATTTCCGTTGGAAATTGCCTATTTTTTAGTTTTTTGGGGTTTTGGGTGGGGCATTTTCTGACCAAAATTATGGCCAATCGAATACTAAATAAACAAAAAACTAGAAAAACAGGCATATAAACCTAACCAAACCTAACATGACCTAACTCTCACCATATGATGGAATCACTTTTGTCTTACCTTATTGGCCTGGTTCTGGTTTGTTGTTCCTCTCCTCTCGGGCAAGAAATGGTATTCACAGATTTAGCCATTCTTGGGCATTTTGGGAACCCGCTCCCTGTGAATTTTAACCATTCTCTGTATGTACAGTCCCCTTCACTAGTACATTTAAGGGCTCCTCATATAAACATTCCACATTTGAGATTGTTTCTATTGTTTTAACTTGATTCCATAGTATGGTTGCTGTTGCGAGTTTCTTTCTGTCAAATGTAAACAAACACCGCTGTCACATTGCACAAAACCTGACAAGCCCCTGTAAAGGCACCAGTGAAGGGGACTGTACATGTTCATAAATATTTTCCAGTCTTAATCATTAATGTACAGTATTGACTGATAGTACACGTTTTATCACACTGTATCCACCACTTGTGTATTTTATATCCATCTCTCAGAATATTTACCTCACTTTAAAGATAACTTTTATTTGATTGAAGATGTAAATTTACAGGTTAATGATGTCACCAAAAAATCAAAGATTGATGAGCAAAATGATCCTTCCAGTGATCCTTCCAGTAAGTATTTAAACTGAAATTGTTTTGTAGTTAAGTTGGATCTCATGGAGTTTGGGCACCCCAGCCTATTTAACCTCATGAATAAACACTCTAATGCTAACCTAACTTTATCTAACCTAACCTAATCGAACATAACCTATCACAACCTACTCTAGCCTAGCATAGCCTCACCTAATCCTCCACTTCACATTAGGTTGGTTAATCATCAGGTGAAATAAGCAGGGGAACTTTAACGAAGATAAACCTCCTGGGCTGTTCATTGTGATATCTGTGTAGCTACTGTATTATACTAGACCATTTACAGCCGTTCTTGTGAATGTGAAGTACGATACAGTACAGTATCTTATGGACCGGAGCTACAGTGCCTTGATGCATCCATGTTCCATTAAAGGTAAAAATAAAAAGTATAAGTTGGCTTACCATTAACATATTCATATAAAATCAATAGAATTATCACATACTATACTTTATACTCCCCTGAGGCTGAGGTTTGGGGTGATGAAGAAGGAACAAGTGGTGACCTGAGCAGGGTTGTCTTAGGGTAGTTCAAGTGATATTTTCAAGTTTAACTTAGAGATGATTAATAATTTCAGCTTCTCAACAATACTTGTATGATGATGTTCTCCTTTTAGTGTGTGGGGAATCATTCATCAAAGAACTGGACCATACCCCAAGGTGAACCATGTCTAGCTTGAATGTGTGTGATGATCTCATATGGTGGGTTAGTGAACCAGACCTATATTTGTCTGTGTCTAATATTGTGCAGTAGCTATTTAAAAACAAAAACAAATGGAATTTTATCTTGCCAACAACACATCTGCTTACTCCTTTGCATTTTGTATTTTTCTTTCTGTACTTTCCTCTCTTTTTTGTTCTTATATTCTTTTCTTTTTCAGTTCATTATCTTTAACTTTGTAGAATTGTTCCTTCATTCTTCCTCTTTTCTTGTCTTGTTAAATTTCCACTAATACTCCTACATACTGTACTGTGGATGTGTATAACTGAGCAGGTATTGAAAACATTTAAAAATTTCATAAGTTCTGCTAATACACATTGAAACATCAGCTTTAGACAAGTTGTTGATACTGTAACTGCATCACAAAATAAAGATTATTTATTACATGCTTAAATTGTCAAAGGATATTGAAGAAATACATGTATACCTCTCTAGGAACGCCCCCAAAGTGTCATGATGAGAAGGTCCAATCTGGCCTTACCCCAGAGCAGAAACAACGCATGATGCAAAACAAAATTAAGGTAGGTTTCATACATTAATGATTGTTGCTCAGTGCCAATGTGCACTTGTTTGTTGATGTAGATGTACTGTATAGTATAACTTATTTACTATTTGTCTTGTTTTCCGTTAGTTGGCTTATTATTGTTTTAATACAATGTCAGTCAACTGGCTGTGAATTATTATACCATTTGTTTCTTTTATATGCTTACATTTCTTATTGATGCTTAAAAAATTGTGATACCTGGCTAAGCACTGGCCATCACTGAATGCATTTTTGTTTATATAGCTACAGGGAGATTCTTACTAATTTTACAGGCAGAGATAAAACAACAGTGTAAGAAAACTCCAGGTCTGCATGAGAACATTGGTCATAGTTGGTACATGGCCCTCAAGTCTCAGTTCTCTCAGCCCTACTTTGAGAAGGTGGGAAAAATACAGTATCTCTCTATCTCATCATTACCTGAACATTAGCCCTCTCAGTATACTGTATTTCACTTAAGATTAACTACTTTAGTGTAGTAGGTAGTATGCAGCTACCAAACAGGGAAGTACTACCGCCTGGTTGTTATAGAAAGTAAATTTTTGGTCAGATGTTAGAATGGGAAATCCTCCCATTTCATAATTGTTTTTATATCCCATTATGGCACTTTACCATGAGCAGTTCAAGACAGACAATGATCCAACACTCTACTTGAATATCATATTTAAGGTTAAAAAACATTTTTAAGTCATTCTCCTTCTTTAAGTCATCTTATCATTTAGTTCTCTTGTTGCTCTATATTGGATTTTATTTCTTACTCTAAGAAAGTACTGGAATTAGATATATGATTATATTGTTAGAAATATTCAAATTAAAAAGAACATTTCCTTTGATTACTGAACAGTTGAGTAAATTTTTGGAACACGAGCGCAAACGAGCAACAATCTTCCCCCCAGAGGACCAGGTGTTCTCTTGGACTCAAGCATGTAAGTTGCAGGACATCAAAGTGGTCATCTTAGGACAAGATCCTTATCATGGACCAAAACAAGCACATGGTCTATGTTTCAGTGTACAGAAGGGTGTGCCACCTCCTCCAAGGTACAGAAAATTGTCTAAAGTTACTAAGTAACAATACATTCATTTAATTTCTCACCTTTAAACTTTTATTAGTCAATTAAACTAAAATGTCTTAATGTGGGTAACTAAGTAAAGGAAATTACCTGGGCACTCTTTAACTATTCCATATTGTTATTTATCACAAGTGCACTTTATAGACACAAATTTCATTTATTTACTGTCATTTGTTGAGGGGAGAAACAACTGAAAAAGCATGTCAATAGCATATACAGTACTGTAGTTGGACAGTTAGGGGACAAGAATTGATAGTTGGAAAAATATTGTTTATTACTGAAACATTGTCCATAATAGACAGTTTTCTCTTTGTATGTTATGAAAGTACTGCTGACAGAGAAAGAAAGGAGATGCCATGTCACATATTTTTTGCATCCTCCATATTACCTTTTGATGGTTTATAATGTAGCTTTATGCTCTACATTTTTCTTTCATTGAATGAAGTTTACTCGGTCTGCTTTCTTGTCTCTCAGTTTCTGTGGGTTTATTTTCCCTGCTTCTGGTTTGTGTATACTGTACCTGGTAAATGTTTCCTGACCCACTTTCTTTGTTTTTGCTCATGGACTTGATTTGTTTCTCTTACATAATAAACAAAGTTTTCTTGTGGGTACAGTATATTCAGTAAAGATCTTTTATTAACATGGGGAAAAATGGATCCTTCTCAGTTTGGTGAACATGTACAAGGAACTGAAGTCAGATATCCCAGGATTTGAGCAGCCATCACATGGATACTTGCTTGGTTGGGCACAACAAGGTAAGCCTGTGTGACTGAAAATAGTACTGTATTGTATATCCTCATTTCTTATGGTAAAGAAAGTCATATTTTGTACCTGTTGAGACAAAGACAATGATGGTCAAGTTTGTGTAAAGAAAATTCATATCCCCCAAACAATATTTATTGCTATTATGTAGGAGTGATTAAACAGTGCGATAATGTCAGATATTGATTATAGTTAGAAGTGAGTTAATATTTTATGGTGTTGTAGTGACACCCTTCTGGGAATCTCGTGTTATTTCTTTACTTAGAATTAGTTTGGCCGCACAGAATCCCCTTCCAAAAACTAGAAATTGCAACTTAATCCGACCTTAAACACTTCTCCCACATCAAATTAAAGGTTCTCTTGAGGGTGAACCAAGTGTCATGTATTGATTACCAGATATTGTTCCTCACTATTGGTTGTGTATAGTGTCCCAGTACATTAGTGTGTGTGGTATCCTTCACTATCCAAATGATCTCCAACCAAAAATTTGCTTTTCTGAAGATTCTATTCTTACTTTTATTATTATTAATATTTTTTATTTTGTTTTTATAATTATTACTACAGCATATATATAGTGTAGAGTGTGTCTGCATAAGTTTCTGTGCTGTATATGCCTACTGTACTGTGCACATGATGTACATTTAATGTACATAAATATCTCATATATACTGAACATGAACTATACAGCATATCTTTCATTTGTGTATTAAAATCAATGTGTATATGTTTTTCCCTAATTAATATACTTTTTATGTTGAATTGATATTTCAGGTCTTGACAAGATGTTAGCCAGGTAAGATATATAGCAATGTGGTTATGGAAATGGTAAGTCAGAGCAATTTTAATTTCTCTTACAGCTCAGTACAACCTTCTCTCTGAGGAAAGTTGCACTGAAACATAAAAGAAATTAGAACTCTTTTTTTTTTACTTATTGTTTCCATAACCACCCTTCTATCATTATGTGAGGCATAGAGAATAATAAAGGCATAGGTCTGAATATCTCAACTTGGCTCAATTTCGAGGTTGTACTGCATGATTTTGGCCCTTGTTTTCTTATGGGGATTGCTTGACATCATTACCTGATAGAAGAATGTTGGGGCTATGGACTAACTTAGAATATGGGAAATTGGACAATCCGGTGATACGCCCCTGCTTTTCTAAATGCCTCATATGTTGTGATGGATGTTCAGCAAAATACAGAATCCTTTACACTGCTTCTGTCATTAAAAAAATCTTTATCACTACAGAGTTAAATTACTGTACTTAAAATATGTATTGACTTAAACCTATTTGTCCTGTGATGAAATTCTGTACAGAATGATGATAATCTTATGTTGGCAGTCAAACAAATTTTTCTGGTTAACCTTATAATTTCACAATACAGTTTATATAAACATCAGTATTATTCAATCAGTTGCTGAATATCTTAAAGTCTGTGTAATTTTGTTGGAGGTGAGAAAAAAATTAAATTACTACGGTATTTTGTTTCATGCATTAATTGTTATTAGATCTCAAACTGTATTATTCTGGAGTTATTTGCTGCCACTAATATAACTGCCATGTTGAAAGATACTGTATGCTTTTGGTGGCATAATTATATCTAAAGATTGTCTCATGGCTTCTGTCCAAAACTTATCAAAGTTATCCACCCAGTTAAAAGACCAATGTTATTAAAAACAAAACAAAAAATATACTGAGGGCTCATCATATGGACATGTTTCTCGCAATGGCCAAGAAATTGTCCTCTCTCCATGTGATTCTTGCTCAAGGTTAGGTTTCTCGAGAATTGCAATAGACAATGTGACGAGATTTGTCCGTATGATTGGCCTCGGCTTAAAACTTTATCAGCCGACCACCATATCGACAATGAGGTACCACTTGTTGCATGGCAAGGGAGAGGAGGCCATGAGGTAGAGTCATCACCAAAGAATATGCAAAGTATACAAAACTGTATTGTATTGAAATGTCATTGATCTGATCTACTGTTAAAAGTTTTCAGTAATGTTTCGTTAATACCATTATGCCTTATAACTCCACCCCATAACTATTTTTAAAAAAGTTATCCCTTTCAGGTGTCTTACTACTCAATGCTTGTTTAACTGTCGAGGCCCACAGAGCTAACTCGCATAAGGACAAAGGCTGGGAGAAGTTTACCGACTCGGTCATCAAAACAATATCAGAACATAATAAAGGTGTTGTTTTCCTTTTGTGGGGATCATATGCCCAGAAGAAAGCTGCTGTTGTTGATAAGGTAAACTACTTTTAACTCACTGTATAGTATCCTACACTCCCTCATCCCTGGCCTGTATTAATTTCTCAGATTACATCTTGTTTCTATTGTCATATAATCCTTCTGTTACAATCCCACCCTACAATTCCTTTCTTATAGGCAGTTTTCTTTTGCTTTATTATGCATTATAAAACTTACTGTAAATATTGACATTTCACTTTTTACTTGTTTTAAGATCACTCTTTTACATTTCTGGGGGAAACCTTTATCTTGCAATGCCTCTTGGTGTTCTGCCAAGTATTCCCTTATTATAGGTATTTAAACTGTATCATGTTAATTACATTCCTTCATGTTTATGTGTTTGGGTGCCCACCATTCTTTTCTCCTTTTGTTTACTTCTTTTTGGACAGACATTTGCTAACTGTTTCACAAAATGACAGAATTCATTTACATATTGATGATTTCTATAATTCAGGAACTCTCCAGCTCTCAAAATTGTAGAGGCAGCTGATGACAACTCTGTATTGAGAAGACTATACTTGTACCAAGCTGCCTAATGCCTGGATGTAATATACACGGGATCTTCAATGAATATGAGGAACCCTTGCTTATTTTGCCTGATGATTACAGTGGTCCCTCGGTTAACAAGCACAATTCGTTCCAGAAGGTTGCTCGTTAACCGAAACCATTGTTTCAATGGGTTTTTGGATAATTGGTTCCAGCTCACCGAAAATTACATACAAACTAAAAATAAATGCAGTAAAGTACACTTACTTTGAGGTGTGCATGTAGAAGACTCCTGGTTGATGATGATGATGATGATGGGAATTAAAATGGAGGTGGAAGAGAAGGGAGAAGAGAAGGCATTGGGGTGGAAGAGAAGTCACCCCATGCCGCCATTTCACCCAGAAAATTTTAGTTCACTTGGTGTAATTTAAGATTATTTTCTTTAAATCAACACTGCACTGCGCTCTATATTATCAATATGTAAAATATATTTCAAAATGACCAAAAATTTGACTGGAAACACAGAAAACAAGCATTTATGTTGAAGAGTCTCAAACAAGATGTTCCTTCCTCTGAACTGGTAAACAAACTGACGCCAAGCTTGGTGTGTTGAGTGGCTGTTTGGCGCGCAAGAAAATAGTTTCCTGTACTTCAATTATGTTCAATAATTGTTAAAATTACCAAAAAATAATAATATAAAACTTTTATAATTATTGAATAGTCCAACTTTCTTGATATTTACTAAAATGGTAAGAAATTTAAGCCCTAAAACCGATTACTGTTTTGGCGGACTAATACTACAGCTGGTGGGTAGCCAAATGCAGGCGAAAACATGTTGGGAAAAATTCGTAAGGAATTCGTTAACCAAAGGTTTGCTCGTTAACCGAAGTGAAGAATCTTATGGAAGGTAATTCGTTAACCGAGGCGCTCGTTAACCAAGGGATCACTGTACCGGTAAACACCCTAATGGTAATTAGGGGCTTATATTAGGGTAGTTTATGTTAAGTTAGTTTTTGTTAGGTTAACGTTGGAGTGATTAATCATCAGGTACTGGTAATCTTTTATTAGGTTTAAGAACTAGGATAATTGTATTTTGTATTTTACAGAGAAGAAATATTGATGGATAGAGTAAATCCAAATTAATTTCTTTTGCATATAACTTTCATTTTCTTTCATGTTTTTCATCTAACATTTTGATTTTGCTACTTATTGATTATGTCTTTTTCTTTAGATATACATCTTGCACACAGCTTGTCCTAGCTTATCTTGTGGAAATGCTCCAGACAGGCATCAGTACAGTGCCTGCAAGCAATAACCTTACTCAGATCATGTCGGCTAATCATGGAGTTATCTTCCCATAGTTGTGTTTTAGGAAAAAAATCTTTCATGTGCTTGCTTATCTTGACCCTTAATACAAAACAACATTTTGTGTCCTCTTATGCACAAAAACTGGAATGCAAGGAACATGAAGCATCCATTGATGTTGGCTCCCATCTCTACAACTAACACGCGTTGATGTTGGCTGCATTTCTTGCTTGGGTTGTATAGTCTATATTTTCTCGTTTTATTATAGTACAGTTGTACTCCACTTAACGCGGTCAATAGAACCCAGAGGGTCCCGCGTTAAGTGAACAACAGAACATATGGGATTAATTCCAATAGAAACCGGCCCGACCCCCAAACTCCACTTTTTGAAGACACATAACTATGTTGTAGTAAAAATAACATCTTAATTTTATGATGGTACATGCACACAATTAATACTTAAGAGAAATAGAGAAATACAGTCGCCTAGTTAATGTCCATTCAAATAATGGACTCAACTCCCTCCCCCTCTTCTCACACTACACTGCTGGCTCTTCCATCTCTGAGAAATTTTTGGGGGAAAACCACTAAATTTTAATAAATAATACCTCAAACTAAAGTTAGGATAATACAATTGACATTGCTGGATTCCTTGTAAGACCAGGAATATTTTGAATATAAATGTCATATATTTTGCACAAAAGATAACATATTTACTCAGAGAAAACATTTTATCTAAAATTTGTATGTCTAATGCAAAATATATGATGTTTATATTCAAAATGATCACCAAATTATAAGAATTCCAGCAATGTAAATTATATTCTGGCCGGGTAATTTGTATGAATTTTATGAGCTAAAACAGGCAGTCAGGCAGGGTGGCGGGTGGGGCAAATCTAAAAATAGCGTCTGGAGCCGGACACTCACCGCGTATATGTGGAAAAAATCCGTGTTAAGTGAAAGTTCAGCTCTGGCGAGGCACCGCGTATATGAAAAAACGCGTTAAGTGAAACCGCGTTAGGCGGGGTAATACTGTACAGTACTTAAGTTTGTAATGACTATTTTTTTTCCACAGAAGAAACATCATCTGCTCAATGCTCCACATCCATCACCACTGTCGGCTCATCGTGGGTTCTTTGGATGTAAACACTTCTCCAAGTGTAATGAACTTCTTGAGAACGGGAGAAAGAAGCCAATAGATTGGACATATTTGCCATCAGATATATAATAAGGATGAATTGAAGTTCATGATGATCATCAGTGTTTTACAACCATTTTCATTTGTAAATGTTGCCTTTGCCGTGTTCATTACAGTATTATTTTTTTAACACTGATTAACCCTCTTGCACATCAAGATGTGAATTGTGTCAAATCATTAGGTAGCGCTATTTGCTTAGTTGATGTGAATTGTGTCATCAAACTTTAAATAGAAGTTACTCCCAAAAAAGTTTTCAAACGCATTGAGTCAAATTTTCATGCATCATTGATGACTACATGATCTTGCTGGGGAAGCTTCCACAAAGTACCAAAGTGTGGGTGGAGTTGTGCTGTCTATCAATTTCTTCCCATTAACTGTTCTGGTAAGTCACATTTGCACCTTTTTGCCTTTTCCATATGTCTGGTAAATGTTTTTGACTGATGGAGAGGCATATGTTTACAAATTTGTTCTTGTTTTATTTTATATTGCCAAATGAGAAGTTTTAGTTTCCTCTGTTTTGTCATCTGCTCCCCACAACTGTTCATTTCACTCTTTATACAGTTAAGGAAAGAAATACAGGGTATCTCAAAAAAATCATACGCATTGCCTTGACCATTGAAGTGCCTCGTTCATCAACTGACTTGCCTCTCATGTGACTGTTCTGCAAGTCAATTGACTCGAGGCCTTTTCCCATCAATATTCAAGTACATAAGATAACAAATATGGTTGTTCCAGGCACCAATATGTGTCAGTACTGATGCAAGATAAGCGAGCCGATTCATGGCACGTACTTAGTTAAAGTCTTGCCACCAAGGACAGTATACTGCCCAGCACCCCCCACTAGACATCTTGGAAGAAGTAGAAGCTTCCCAGATTTATTACCCAAATAAGTACCAAAAGATTCTCTTCAGTTGTATTGGAGAATGGAAAGTGTTGGGTCTGATGGACCAGCTTCAGAAACAGATGGAGAGTGATTTATTGCTAGAAAAGGCTGATGCTCACTATTTGGTGCTTTCACTACCATTGTCCTATGCATTCATATGCCAGAAGGAAGGCAAGAATATAATTTATATTTAATACTGTACAGGTATTGTTTATTTTTACATAAAAAACTTTCTTTACATAATTTGTATTATTTCTTTCTAAACAGTCAGTTTTATGTGTACTGTATATGAGGTATGTGAGCATTTTAAGGGTTAAAGATTTTTGTGGCAATTGTGTGAATGTTTGTATTACAACAAATATTGTCATAACTTGATGTGTGAGGTCGCCCACAAGTTTATAAAATGTTTTGAAACATCCTGTATTTAATATGAAGAATAAGAAAGTGAAATTTTGTTTGCATGTGAAACAATTTGAGGTTTTTGTTTGCAGACCATTACAGTGTTAGTCTTTGTGAATAAATTTTAGAATTATGAGAATAGTTTTAACTTACTATGTGTCATTCTCTGTCAAGGAGGAAACTGTGGTAGAGCTGGAGTGTATGAAGTTCTCAGGAGTATTTTATAATACAATGCAGGTACCCTGCACTGTTCTGTAACTGAAATTAAACTTCATTATTAGTTTTAACAGAATCAAATTTTATAGGTATGAAAACTTTATTCATGAATTCACAGCAACACTGGCTGACGAGTTGTCAGTTTGCATTAATATTTCTGTACATTATTTACAGTATAAAGCCAACATCCCCCGCTCTCACTACACCACTATACACACATGCAAAAGGTCTATTCTTTAAACCCTTGGTAGGGTTCCCTTCAGATAGACAGACTTGGTGAACACAAGTTTTAGGGAATTTTATAATGACTTCATTTGTGTGAATAATTTTTAGGGTATGATGTAAGTCTTTAAAAAAAATAGTAGTGCAGTGTTTTTTGTTTGGTTTTTTTCTGCACATCAGTTGTCATTGTAAGCAACCAGCAATACCAATATGCTCATAGTACAATATTATTCTTGTACAGGTTATATTTGTAAATGATATTGGTGTATGTAAAATGAATTTTCTTTGTTTTTACTTATTCTTCAAGGTGTGTAAGATAGACATGACTAAAGGGATTTATACACAATTCTGTCAACCTAAGCTATTTTATGAATAATTTGATACACACTACATACATTAAATAAAGATAAACATGAACTAGTAATAACAGATAACTTAAAATAGGTACGTATACATAAACTAGTATTGACACCAGCAAATCCAAGCATGATTATAGTACTGAACTTACTCATGATTTATGAACCAATATGTATCCCTTTGTCATGGCTTCTTGTGTACCTGGTTAATATATCTTGCATTACTGAAAATATATATAATTTGGAGAAGATAGAGTTAATGCATTTTGTACGTTTTATAAATTTTGATAATCTCAAATAAAATATGTTTTCCAAAAATAAAGTATTTTTCCTTGGTACTCTATTGAGAAAACTGATAAGTAATCTCTCCATTAGCAGGAATATTTGTTCCACAGAATTCTCCAACTGCTGTTTTATTTTGGGGGGGGGCGGGGCATTCTGAGAAATTCCGGGGAAAAATCTCTGCATTCTGGGAATGGTAGCGAATTTCTGAGGATTGCATTATGCGCATTTCCGGAAAATTCTGAGAAAAATCTTTGTTCCGGGCATGGGAAAGAATTTCCGGGAGATTGCATCATGTTATCGACACATGGGTGGGTAGGCTCAGAATGCTCATGAGCTACGATTGGTCACAACTGTCATGTGGCTGTTTGGGATACCTATGAATGGCTAACATATCTCAGCCTATCTTCTCAAACTCTTGCATCATGACACTCTTAGTTCAATGTCTGCTGCTATTGTACAAGCTTGTTCGCTTGCTCATTGCTGTTTTTACATATGATCTGCGTTGTTTTGCAGTGCTGTACATTACTGTTTCAGCATAAAATCAGCCAAGAATACCATTAAAGCATTGTTAAGATGTAAAAAAGTGAATGCAGGATACTATCAGTTTTGTATATTGTACTGACTTTCTGTAAGTATGAAAGTGCCATTTGTACTGTATTGGACAATGCATGCAAGTGTGTAAAGGGTTTATGTACAGTATACAGTGCATATTCAATCCTTCCTTCATGGGGGAAGAGGAGAGTGACAGTTAGCAACACCTGCTACAGGACAAAGGCAGGCCATCCTGTGTATCATCATCATATCAATTGGCCTGCCTGCATCACAAGCTCAAGATGACAGCATCTGCTGGTGAGTACAGTATATTCAGTTCAGTAGTAGTAGTAGTGTATTCTCTTTATTTACAGTATATTTTATATGTACAATGGTGTTTGCATAAATAAACACAGCTCTGTGTCTGTTCGTGTGAGATGCATAGTTTAGACTCGAGGAAAACTCCCCAGTACCTGGAAAAATTCCAGGGATGTGTGATTTTTTTCCATACAGGAAAATATCTCAATCGCAGAACTGCTGTGCACCAATTATTCTGGCTAATGGGGATATTACTACTGTATTTAGATTCTTAGGTCACAGACCCACTAGATATGGTTTCATGTCTGAGACATCTTTTTCACAACAATGATGTCTCTGTAGGCAAAAGAAACTTCATCGTTGAGTATAACAATTAATAATTTGGGGAGATGGCCATCCTTCTCATGGGTAGTAGTACTGTACTGTACTAGGTTGTGTGAGGTGATGGTTAAACTGTTTGGGGGTTTTATAAATGGAGAATACCAGAGAAGTAAAACTAACTAGAAGCAGCATTTTGAGCAAAAAATAAGCGTTTTCCATGAAATGACACCAGTGAACTTTAATACACTTTTTTGAGCAGAAAACAAGCGTTTTTCGTGAAAAAATAGAATGAATTAATACGCACTGCTTTGTGCAGAAGACAAGCGTATTCCGTGAAAAGAAGTAAAACTAACGAATTCCACTGTTTTCATTCAAAATTAGGTGTTTTCACTAGAAGAAGTAAAACTAACTAAAAACAGCATTTTTAGGAGAAAGAAGGCGTTTTCCTTGAGCGAAATAAAACTTACTAAAATACACTGTTTTGAGTAAAAACTGAGTGTTTCCAGTACAAGAAGTAAAAGTAACTAAAAGCAGTGTGTTTGAGCAGAAAACAAACATTTTCCGTGAAAAGAGGTCAGTGAACTAAGGTAGCCTACACTTTTTTCAGCAGAAAACAAGCGTTTATCGTGAAAAAAATAGAATGAACTAAAATGCACTGCTTTGTGCAGAAAACAGGCGTATTCCGTGAAAAGAAGTAAAACTAACGAATTCCACTATTTTCATTCAAAATTGAGTCTTTTCACCAGAAGAAGTAAAACTAACTAAAACAGCATTTTTAGCAGAAAACAATCGTTTCCGTGATAAAAGTAAAACTTACAAAAATACACTGTTTTTGAGCAGAAAGTGGTGTTTCCAGAAAATGAAGTAAAACTAACGAGAAGCAGCGTTTTCAGCAGAAAAAAATGCGTTTTCCATTGAAAGACATCAGTGAACTAAAATATACTTTTTTGAGCAGAAAACAATCGTTTTTCGTGAAAAATATAAAATGAACTAAAATGCACTGTTTTGTGCAGAAAACAAGCGTATTCTGTGAAAAGAAGCAAAACTAACGAATTCTACTGTTTTCATTCAAAATTTAGTGTTTTCACTAGAAGTAAAATTAACTAAAAACAGCATTTTTAGGAGATAAAAGCGTTTTCCATGGGAGAAGTACAACTTACAAAATACACTGTTTTTGAGCAGAAACTGGTGTTTCCAGTAATAGAAGTAAAACTAACTAGAAGCCACGTTTTGAGCAGAATATAAGCGTTTTCCGTGAAAAAATAAAATGAACTAAAATGCACTGTTTCGTGCAGAAAACAAGCATATTCCGTGAAAAGAAGTAAAACTAACAAATTCCACTGTTTTCATTCAAAATTGTGTGTTTTCACTAAAAGAAGTAAAACTCACTAAAACAGCATTTTAGGAGATAAAGGGCGTTTTCCGTGAGAGAAGTAAAACTTACAAAGATACACTGTTTTTGAGTAAAAACTGAGTGTTTCCAGTGCAAGAAGTAAAACTCACTATAAACAGCGTTTTACCAGAAAACAAGCGTTTCCGTAATAAAAGTAAAACTTACTAAAATACATTGTTTTTGAGCAGAAACCGATGTTTCCAGTGAGAGAAGTAAAACTAACTAGAAGCAGCGTTTTGAGCAGAAAATAAGCGTTTTCCGTAGGAGAAGTAAAACTTACTAAGATACACTGATTTTGAGCATAAACTGAGATTTATAGTAAGAGAAGTAAAACTAACTAAAAGCAGCGTTTTCAGCAGAAAAAATGCGTTTTCCATTGAAAAGACGTCAGTGAACAAAAATACACTGTTTTGAGCAGAAAACAAACGTTTTTCGTGAAAAAAATAAAATGAACAAAAATGCACTGTTTTGTGCAGAAGACAAGCGTATTCCGTGAAAAGAAGTAAAACCAGCGAATTCTATGTTTTCATTCACAAGTGAGTGTTTTCACTAGAAGAAGTTGTAGTGGACGTCTCCCCTACAACTGTCTACAACTGCGTAGCCACAGCCACCACCTGCTACCGCATTCCGACGTGCCATCTCCTAGCAACCAAGCGAGAGCTGACGCCAGATGGTACGGTTGCTTAGCAACGGAACTACTCACCGGCGACTTTCTGGGTTTTCCCAACATGATTCATAGAGGACTGGCAGCTGCTGCTCTGTCTCTCCATTGAGATTCATTCTGACCATTCTTCTTGAACAAGCAACACCTCCTCCTCCGCCGCTGCCTGACTGCCTTCGCTTCTCCTCGCCTGCCTGGCGGTCCTCGCTCCCGCCAGCGAGCATGGCGACCCACGAGCATGTCCTTCTCTGAGCTTCCTCACCAACCAACTCTCATTCTGCCCATCTTCCTGAACAAGCAACACCTCCTCCAGCAAGCTCCACGCTGTTAGCATTCATTCAATCAGGAGGCCAGCAACAGGCAACATCTTCTCTAACGAAGCTCCTGCACATCTACCTCCTTCAACACGCTACTCACCGAACGTCTTCTACTGAGCAGCTCCCCACCACACGGCACCTCCAGCACCAGACTGTCTATCATAGAACTTATATTATATAAGAAAACCACATTAGAGTTTCTTTCCATCCTGAGTGCTAGACAACATTAATATCTCGATACCCCTACAAAGTAAAACCAACTAAAAAACAGCATTTTTAGGAGGAAAGGGGCGTTTTCCGTGAGAGGAGTAAAACTTACTACAATACACTGCTTTTGAGCAGAAAATAATGTTTCCAATAAAAGAAGTAAAACTAGCTACAAACAGCGTTTTAGCGGAAAACAAGCGTTTCCGTGATAAAAGTAAAACTTATTAAAATACAATCTTTTGAGCAGAAACTGATGTTTCTAGTAAAAGAAGTAAAACTAAATAGAAACAGCGATTTGAGCAGAAAA